TATAACGCTTGTCAAGCTGCGTGTTGTCGAGGATTGTGCAGAGATGGAGGATTGAGGTAAAGTGTATCATTGACATCCGTCAGCTCATCAATTTCTCCGGTATTTGATTACATCTCAGCATCAGGTACAACAATGCCCATCTTTCGAGCGAATTCCAAAGCTCTCGACCTAGATTCGGGGTGTAACGGGGTTACACGTACCCTGGTTCACCAGAATGGGTCACACAAGACGGTGTGACCGTACAGAGAAGTGGATTTCACAAGTTGGTGTAGTCACACGATGGTGTGGCTATACCGTAACAAGAAGCCACTACGTGGCGGGACTGCCAGTATTTATGCATTGATTAGGTTTTACTATTTAATTAGGAGAATTTCGGGTACTCTTGGAGGTAGCGGATTGTGATCCGCTACACTCGTACTGGTTCAAGTATCGGTGGCCTTAAGTAAGCTTCCTCTCAGCAAAGAGCTCGGCGACCTCGCTGCACTTGGTAGCACGCGTCGACAGGTTACGCCTGCGTCGTTACGACTGATCCTCTGTGAGGATGGGGCAGTTTTCCAATTTACCACAGGGCTTGCAGGACGGGTTAAGCTGATATTCTTGCTTAGGCGTGGAACACCTTGTTTCACAAGGACCCGAAGCGATAAAGGAGCGCTTAGAGGCGTTTTAGAGCTATGAAAATGCTCTGCTAGAGCACATAGAGCAGAAGATGTCGGCGTTGACAGCGTCCATGACGCCATCGTCGACGACAAATGACTTTTCCAGACCCAGGCCGCTCATGGTGAGTGTTAACACCTTCGAGGGTAAGGATGGAGAGAACTTTCTGCTTTTGGTGAGAGAGGTCGAGATGGCAATGGCATCCGCTATGCTCCAGAACGAGCAACAGCGCGCTAGCTCTCTCAAGCTCGGGAGCCGAGCACGAGAATGGGCACTGACGTGCGTTTTTCCGATTGAAGCGGCATTCTCCTCCTGAATGGAGCAGAAGTTTTCTGCGAGTGTTCTCGCCGCCTAATCAGGCATATTTAGTAAGATCGCGTTTCCTTGCCGCCTGACAGAGCAAGAAGAAGTTGGTGGGCATTGTCCAGGAGTTAAGTATACTCATTGTCAGGATGGCTCTAAATCCTCTCTCCAAGGCGGCTGAAGTGACCGATTTTATGGTGTGGCCAGAAAAGAAGTTTTCCGTGTGCATCCGCCTTATTTCGAAGAAGCGGTAAATGTAGTATTGAATGCCGTATTCAACTA